TCCCAGAGTCTTGTTTTCTGAAGATGAACCTCAGGTCTTCTAGAGGTTCTGAGAAATAGCTTTCTTTATGCTGTGAAAATTCTGGTGACCATTTCCCATATACAATTTTTATAGCTTGTCACTGCATCTCTTGAGGAAGGAAGGACAGAATAGTTTCTCAGGAACTGGGAATAAGACTAGGGTCTGGAAGACATGTCAGGCTGCCTTTCTTGCCTCCCTGTTAGACTTTTGATTTGCCAAAGAGATCTTAGACATAACTCTTTGGAGTCCCTTGCAATGATTGACAGCAACCTGCCTGGAAATATGCAAGTGTCTCTAGGACAGTGGTGGCGAACCTATTACATGCATGATGCAGTGGGCTGCTCGTTATCATTGCAAGCTCTAAATTACTCATCAGCATTGCTTTAGGAATTGTAGAATGTCCTGACTGTGCTTTACAGATGACTGATTATTAGTTAAAAAGCCATTTTTTCCAGATTCCTGTGTATGTAGCACCAGAAAGACATATTTTTCCTTTTCCTAATCTCAATGCCCAAGTAAGAGCTGTGAGCTCTCTGTTCAAGCAGAGGTCCCAGGAGAAGTTAGCTTCAGTGATCTGTTGCAAATTATCAACTCATAACTTGACTTTTGATGTTTTTCTTAGACAAAGCTACTTCCATCAGTAAACCACACTTTTTTAGGGTCTTGTAGGGGCATGCTATAATGTCCTGCCTATTTGCATAGCTCTGGGTGCTCATCTCTTCACAAGAATGGTAACTCCTTGCCCTGTAAGAATCAAAAGGCAGGATTAGGAGTAGCACAAATTTTTATAATAATCTCAAGGATGTCTAAGAGTGTGGCCTGAAACTTCGCAAGCCATTGATTTCCTTGTTAACCACAAGTAATTTTTGGTCTCAGGAATTACTGACTGAGATGGGGAGTTAGGACTCCTTTTATTTCTTTCTGTAATGCTTTTAGTTTTTTGTGTAAGGTCTCTCATATTTTTTGATAAATTTGCTCTAAATATTTTGCCTTTTTTACTCTATTCTAAAATAGTTCTTGTCCTAA